ATAAAATGCTGAGGGCAGTACCTAGGGACACAGTAAGAGCTCAATAGACGCTAGCTGTTATCATTAATTGAGCACTGGCTGTGTGCCAGATACTAAGAGTACAAAGATCAATGAAATAGTCTGCAGTGCTTCTAGTCTGATGAGCGATCATGGGACAGTGACATGCACCTTAAGGAGCCTGGCCGAGAAAGCAGAGGTGGGCTATGGTGCCCACTTGTCAAAATACTTTGACAAGTATTTAGTCAAACTTCAGGATTCACCTCTGACAGGCTGGGCCCCATTGCCATTTAAGCTGACCTGAAGCCTGGTGTGATGGTGCGTGCCTGTAGTCTCAGCTACTTGGGAGGCAGGGGCAGAAGGATCACCTGAGACCAAGAGTTCCAGGCTGTAGTGTGCCATGATCACACCTTTGAATAGCCACTGTACTCCAGCCTGGGCAACATAGTGAGACCTCACCTCAAAAACAAAAACAAAAACAAAAAAATGGACGTAGGGTCCTGTGACCAGGAAACAGGATTGGCCGCAGGGCGGGCACTCGGCAGTGTCTGCCCACTTACATGCATGAGAAATTAGCAGAGTTCTGTGCTAGACAGAAATCAGCACCACCCTCTCTCAGCATCGTCCCTATCATGCTGTGTGTGTGTCTGTGACTAAGCATGAAGAAATTAGGGGCATCACAGGGATGGGCAGGAAGAAGAGAAAGTCTCTAAACACAGGCTTCCCCACGGTCATGAGAAACAAGTTTATCTTTAATTTCTTTTTTTTTTTTGAGACAGAGTCTCACTCTGATGCCAGGCTGGAGTGCAGTGGCACAATCTCAGCTCACAGCAACTTCTGCTTTCAGGTTCAAGCAATTCTCCTGCCTCAGCCTCCCAAGTAGCTGGAACTACAGGCGCATGCCACCACGCCCAGCTAATTTTTTAATTTTTAGTAGAGATGGGGTTTCACCATGTTGGCCAGGATGGTTTCTTTTTTTTTTTTTTTGAGACGGAGTTTCGCTCGTTACACAGGCTGGAGTGCAATGGCGCAATCTCGGCTCACCGCAACCTCCGCCTCCTGGGTTCAGGCAATTCTCCTGCCTCAGCCTCCTGAGTAGCTGGGATTACAGGCATGCGCCACCATGCCCAGCTAATTTTTTTTTTTTGTATTTTTAGTAGAGACGGGGTTTCACCACGTTGACCAGGATGGTCTCGATCTCTTGACCTTGTGATCCACCCGCCTCAGCCTCCCAAAGTGCTGGGATTACAGGCTTGAGCCACCGCACCCGGCGGCCAGGATGGTTTCTATCTCTTGACCTTGTAATCTGCCTGCCTTGGCCTCCCAAAGTGCTGGGATTACAGGTGTGAGCCACTGCGCCTGGCCTTTTTTTTTTTCTTTGAGACAGGATCTGGCTCTGTCACCTAGGTTGAAGTACAGTGACATGATCATAGCTCACTGTAGTCTCAACCTCCCCAGCTCAAGCAATCCTCCCACCTTAGCCTCCCCAGTAGCTGAGACTACAGGTGCATGCCACCACATCTGCCTGATTTTTTACTTTTATTTTTATTTTTTCTGAGACGGAGTTTTGCTCTTGTTACCCAGGCTGGAGTGCAGTGGCGCAATCTCGGCTCACTGCAACCTCCGCCTCCTGGGTTCAAGTAATTTTCCTGCCTCAGCCTCCTGAGTAGCTGGGACTACAGGTACCCACCACCATGCCCAGCTACTTTTTATATTTTTGGTAGAGACAGGGTTTCACCATGTTGGCCAAGATGGTCTCAATCTCTTGACCTTGTAATTTGCCCGCCTTGACCTCCCAAAGTGCTGGGATTATAGGTGTGTACCACCATGCCCAGCCTCTTTTTTTTTTTTTTTTTCTCTCTTTTTTTTTTTTTTTTTTTTTTTTTGAGGCAGGGTCTCATTCTGTCTCTTAGGCTGGAGTGCAGTGGTATGATCAGGGCTCACTGTAGCCACAGCCTCTGGTGGGATGATCAAGTGATCCTTCCACCTTAGCCTCTTAAGTAGCTGGGACTACAGGGCTGCTCCACCATGTCCAGCTAATTTTTGTTGTAATTAGAGACGAGGTCTCCCTATGTTTCCCAGGCTGGTCTCAAACTCCTGAGCTCAAGTAGTCCTCCTGCTTCAGCCTCCCAAAGTGCTGGGATCACAGGCATGAGCCACCACACCCAGCCCATACGCAGGTTTCTTTACCTCATCTCTAAAATCAAGATGGCAAGTAAATGGGAAAATGTATGCAAGGAACATTATAGGCACTTAATAAATGTATGCAAGGAACATTATAGGCACTTAATAAATGTATGCAAGGAACATTATAGGCACTTAATAAATGTATGCAAGGAACATTATAGGCACTTAATAAATGTATGCAAGGAACATTATAGGCACTTAATAAATGTATGCAAGGAACATTATAGGCACTTAATAAATGTATGCAAGGAACATTATAGGCACTTAATAAATGTATGCAAGGAACATTATAGGCACTTACTTAATAAATAGCAGCTGTTATTTTTATATCGCTGTTTGACCTTGAGTAGGTCAGTTTAAGCGTTCTTGTGCCAAGCATTGTAGTAACTTATACAATAATGTATCTATTATTATTCCCATTTTATAGTTGAAAATGAGACAAAGAGAGATCAAGAGACTTGTCTAGGCCAGATGTGGTGGCTCATGCCTGTATTCCCAGCATTTTGGGAGGCAGAGGCGGGAGGATTGCTTGAACCCAGAAGTTTGAGACCAGCCTAGGCAACACAGTGAGATCCTCATTTCTAATTTTAAAAATTTTTAAAAATTTAAAAAAATTTTATGGTGGTGTGAGCCTGTGGTCCCAGCTACTCAGAAGCCTGAGCCTGGGAGGTCAAGACTGCAGTGAGCCCTGATTGTGCCACTGTACTCCAACCTGGGCAACAGAGTGAGACTTTGTCTGAAAAGGAAGGAGGGGAGAGGAGGGGAGGAGAGGGGAGAGGAGGGGAGGAGAGAACTTGTCCAGTTTCATCCGGGAGAAATTGGCTGCACTTGGATTTGAGCTGAGGCATCGGGTCCTGAGCCTTTTCGTTCTTTCTTTTCTGTCTGTCTGTCTTTCTTTTTTTTTGAGGGATATGCTCTTGCTCTGTCACTCAGGCCAGAGTGCAGTGACATGGGCATGGCTCACTGCAGCCTCAGTCTCCCAAGCTCAAGTAATCCCTCTCACCTCAGCCTCCCAAGCAGCTGAGACTACAGGTTGCACCACCACGTCTGTATAATTTTTGTATTTTTTGGTAGAGGCAGGGTTTTGCTACCTTTCCCATGCCGGTTTGGGCTCAAGCAATCCTCCCGCCCTAGCCTCCCAAAGTGCTGGGATCACAGGCGTGAGCCACTGAGTGTGGCCTCTGAGCTCTTAATCATCACACTATCTTTTCTTTCTCACATCCTGTTAGGAGGTATAAGTGCCAAGGCTGGGGCGTGGGGCCTGGCATGTGATAGGTGCCCAACGAATGCTAGAGACTGAATCGAGTTGAATGGTTTCTACATCCAGGGAGGGGGGAAAAATCACCCAAAGGCTTTACTGGCCATGACATCTCATGCTTTTTATTTGACAAGACTCAACATCTCTAATGCATTTTCAGATCTCCAATAAGAAAGAGACGTAAAAAAATAATTGAGAAAAAAAAATTCAGAATGGTGTCCCACTCAAAGCTTGGGGGGCATCTAAAGCCCATCAGTCTACCTCAATGGGGTGATCATGGGTTTTTAACGTCAAACCTGAAGGTGGTGCAGGGATATTGGGGAAGAAGGAAGGATACAGGGTAGTCAATCTGGTCCCAATCATCCTACCTGCCCTGCCCCTAACCTCTGAATCTCTCTCCAAGTCACTCTATATCATCGGCACTGCAAATACTTTCTTTTCATGGGCAACTGGGAGATATTTAATCGAAGTAAGACTCAGTGCAAGAAATGCATGGATATTATTTTCCAATCAAGGTGCCACACAGAATGGAGACCCATCCCAGCTCCAAATTCTCTTTCAGCTCAGGTCATTAATCTTATCCACCCTCCTTTAAGCTCCATATAGATCTCAGGTAGATCAGAAAGCCTTCCCTTTGAGCCTGGGGTCTTTTCTATAGTCAGACAACATGTCACCTGAACTGTATCAACAGGGAATCTCATAGGTCACATTTCTTCCAGCAAAGAGGAACTGTGAAAATATTATGTTGGCCAGGCTCAGTGGCTCATGCCTGTAATCCCAGCACTTTGGGAGGCCAAGGAAGGGGGGATCATTTGACGTCAGGAGTTTGAGACCAGCCTGTCCAACACGGTAAAATCCCATCTCTACTAAAAATATAAAAATTAGCTGGGCGTGGTGGTGGGCGTCTGCAGCTACTCGGAAGGCTGAGGCAGGAGAATGGCTTGAACCCTGAAGGTGGAGGTTGCAGTGAGCTGAGATGACACCACTGTACTCCAGCCTGGGTGACAGAGTGAGACTCTGTGTAAAAAAAAAGAAAATAGGATGGGCGTGGTGACTCATGTCTGTAATCTGAGCACTTTGGGAGGCTGAGGTGGGCGGATCATGAGGTCAAGAGATTGAGACCAGCTTGGCCAACATGGTGAAGCCCCGCCTCTACTAAAAATACAAAAATTAGCTGGGCGTGGTAGCACATGTCTGTAGTCCCAGCTATTCGGCAGGCTGAGGCAGGAGAATCATTTGAACCCGGGAGCCAGAGCTTGCAGTGAGCCGAGATCGCGCCATTGCACTCCAGCCTGGTGACAAAGCAAGATTCTGTCTCAAAAAATAAAATAAAATAAAATATTATGCTAAGTGAAGTCTTCAGTCCTCCACCCCACCCCCACCAACAGCTCTCCAGTTTTTAGTGGCTCAGAAGAAAACAACAGGAAAAAGAACAAAGAACAATTCTGTTGATTGAACCAAGACTCAATATATCATGAATTAACCCAAGTCTCAGAAAATAAAAAAAAGACAATCCTAATTAGGTTACAGCACACAAAGATAACAAGAATCATCACCGAATAAGACTAGGAGGCCTTCCGGAAAGGGACAATTTTCTGAAAAGCTTGCCGAAACTCTTCATTAAACACAGTGTAGATTATTGGATTGATGAGGGAGTTTAAATAGCCTAGCCAGGTGAAGAAGTCAAAGAGGGCCGGGTGGATCCAGCAGGAGTCCCGGCAGATGGGGAGGACCAAAGACACCACGAAGAAGGGCAGCCAGCAGATGATAAAAGCCCCCAGAATGATGCCCAGGGTTTTCGTGGCTTTCCTTTCTCGAGCAGCGGAAATCCTCTTGCGTTCCAGGGCACTGTCAGCAAGCTTGATTTTCACGTGGTTGAAAAAGAGAGGGGAGCCGGCCAAGTGCGAGTGCCCCTCATGGAGGCTAGGGTTGAGTGAGCAGAGCGAGGACCCTGCAGAGCCTGTGATGAGGTGAGCCGTGGTGAAGCGCTTCCCATAGAGTGAGGGTGGATTCAGGATGCGGTTCCGGGCAGCCCGGTAGATCCGGCCATAGAGGATGATGAGCAACACCGAGGGAATGTAGAAGGCCCCACAGGTGGAGTAGATGGTGTAGGAGATCTGAGAGGTGTTCACCAGGCAGTCCGACATCTCCTCCTGGGCCTTGGCCTGCCGCCAGAAGAGTGGGGGGATAGAGATGCAGATGGAGATGACCCAGACGATGGCGATCATGGTGGCCGCGTGGCCGGCCGTCCGGCGTTTACTGTACTCCAGGGCATCTGTGATTGCCCAGTACCTGTCCAGAGCAATGACACAGAGATGCAGGATGGAGGCCGTGCAGCATGTGATGTCAGAAGACAGCCAGATGTCACACAAGATTTGGCCAAAGTTCCAGGTGTGGGTGATGGTATAGGCGATGCTGATGGGCATGACCAAGATGGAAACCAAGAGGTCAGTGGTGGCCAGGGAGCCAATCAGGTAGTTGGCAGGGGTGTGGAGCTTCCTGGTGAGAAAGATGGTGGTGAGTACAAAGGCATTGGAGAGGACTGTGGCCAGTGTGATGATGGAAAGGGCCACGGCAAGGGAGATCTTGAGCGTCTGGAGGGTCCTGGGATCCCAAGCCCCTAGGGTTTCTGTGGCATTCAGGGATCCGTTGGAGGCCTCCTGAGGAAGGCCTTCTGCCGACTGGTTCAGTGGGGACATGCTAGGTGGCTCTCTCTTCCCACAGACTTCCACACATTTGGCTCCTTCTTTCAAGACTGTCCCACCAACAGACCAAAGTCATCCTTCTGCTTCACGCCGGTGGGAACCATACACCAGAACAGATCACAGTGAAAAGGCCTCAAGACCAGACTATTCTCCAAGTACAGCAGCAATAAAATAAAATTAAATAATAATAAACAAGACTGGACTATTTGAAGAATGCTGAGACAACTACCAGCTGGTAGTTAAAGGTCTTTCCTAAACCACAGGAATCCCAAGATGTCTCAGGGTTCTGGAACTGTGCCCAGCAGATGGTCATGCCCAGGGGACGCATGCTGAATTTGTTGGACAATTATCAAGGGATCACACCCATGTGGGCAATGCCCTGGGATTCTCGCCTTTGGCATGCTGGCTCTTTTCAAAGCTTGAGACATCCGTATGTTTAATGAGAACTTCAGAATTCCCCTCATAATAATTGAAAAGATTCTGGATTTTGAGTTGCCTCCAAGGAGCTTTTAAAATTAGGGCCATAAAGAAGTTTCAGCTGATTCAGAAAAGCAGTCCGGTCAGCACTGCAGCTCACGGTTTTCCCAGGTTCACCTTGATGCATCCCGAGCTACCTAACTTCGGATCCTGTCCAACTGATCCTTTAGAGCCTGAGCAGACAAATCATCGGTTACCAAGACTTGAAGAACGCATAAGTTGGGAGCAGGCAAAACAGATCACTGTGGGCTCACAGAGCGGGGACATGTTCAGAAGCTCTGGAGTTTAGAAAAGAAAAAAAAAAAAGGAGTTAGGTTCTAGGACAATGTGAAAGGCTGAAATGATCTATACAATCACAAAGATACTGCTTAAAGCTGACCATGGTGCTGTGAAACAGGCATTCTATCAGGAGAACACAGAACAGGGTGATGTGCCCCACCCATGCAGTTCCCAGAGGAGACAAAGTATCATAGTTGTTGGAACCTCACAGGCTTGTTAGAAGTACATGAAATCAGCTCTGTAAGTTGTAAATCAGAAAGCATCATTCTATTTATTTAGCAACAATGGAAACAAAGTAAAACTGTACACAAGGAAAGATAAAGGCCATGAGGAAATAAACCAAATTGTTAAGATACATTTCTCTACAAAGTATTGGGGGGGGTGCTTTTTTCTACTCATTTGAATTTTCCAAATGTTCTACAGTGAACATGAATGATTTTTTTTTTTTTTTTTTTTTTTGAGATGGAGTTTCCCTCTTGTTGCCCAGGCTGGAATGCAATGGCATGATTTTGGCTCACTGCAACCTCTGCCTCCTGGGTTCAAGCAATTTCCCTGCCTCAGCCTCCCAAGTAGGTAGTTGGGATTACAGGTAACCGCCACCACAACTGTCTAATTTTTTTTTTTGAGAAGGAGTTTCACTCTTGTTACCCAAGCTGGAGTGCAATGGCGCGATCTCGGCTCACCGCAACCTCCGCCTCCTGGGTTCAGGCAATTCTCCTGCCTCAGCTTCCTGAGTAGCTGGGATTACAGGCACGCACCACCATGCCCAGCTAATTTTTTGCACCTTTAGTAGAGACAGGGTTTCACCATGTTGACCAGGATGGTCTCGATCTCTCGACCTCGTGATCCACCCGCCTCGGCCTCCCAAAGTGCTGGGATTACAGGCTTGAGCCACCGCGCCCGGCCTAATTTTTGTATTTTTAGTAGAGACAGGGTTTTACTACATTGGCCAGGCTGGTCTTGAACTCCTGGGTAATCTGACCGCATCAGCCTCCCAAAGTGCTGGGATTATAGGCATGAGCCACCATGCCCAGCCATGATTTTTTTTTTTTTTTTTTTTTTTTTTTTTTTTTTTTTGAGACGGGGTTTCGCTCTTGTTACCCAGGCTGGAGTGCAATGGCATGATCTCGGCTCACCGCAAACTCCGCCCCCTGGGTTCAAGCAATTCTCCTGCCTCAGCCTCCCTAGTAGCTAGGACTACAGGCGTGCGCCACCATGCCCAGCTAATTTTTGTATTTTTGGTAGAGACGGGGTTTCACCATGTTGACCAGGATGGTCTCGATCTCTTGACCTCGTGATCCACCCGCCTCGGCCTCCCAAAGTGCTGGGATTACAGGCTTGAGCCACCGCGCCCGGCTGGCCATGATTTTTAAAACAAAAAAAAAGATATGAGTGAAAACAAAAAACACTGGCCAGTCATGGTGGCTCATGCCTGTAATCCCAGCACTTTGGGAGGCAGATGGCAGCAGACTGCCTAAGCTCAGGAGTTCAGAATCAGCCTGGGTAACATGGCAAAACCGCTTTTACAAAAATTATCCATGTGTGGTGGCATGCCCTTGTAGTCCCAGCTGCTCAGGAGGCTGAGGTAGGAGGGTCATTTAAGCTGGGTAGGTCAAGGCTCCAGTGAACCAAGGACAACCCATTGCACTCTAGCCTGGGCAACAGAAAGATCCCATCTCAAAAAACAAAAACAAAAACATCTTTTTGTTAAGCAAAGACATTAACTGCGAAAATTAAAACCCTGAGCGTTGTTCATTATGGAAATATTTTTTTAAAATTTTTATTATGTTTCTTTTCTTTTCTTTTTTTTCCATTGTGGAAGTTTAATCCAGAAAATGCATTCAGTTTTCCAACTGGAAACTGGAAACTTAGTCACAAAAAAATCGTGGGAACTTCCAGGTTGGTAAAAGTATCCAGGTGTCTAGAAGGTGGCATCCTCCAACTCCACAGGAATAGAAACGCCTGCCCTTGAAGCTTTTTTTTTTTTTTTTTTTTTAATGGAGTCTTAACGCTATTGCCCAGGCTGGAGTGCAGAGGCACAATCTCGGCTCACTGCAACCTCTGTCTCCTGTCAGGTGATTCTCCTGCCTCAGCTTCCCGAGTAGCTGAGATTACAGGTGTGTGCCACCACAGCCAGCTAATTTGTGTATTTTTAGTAGAGATGGGGTTTCACCATGTTAGCCAGGCTGGTCTCAAACTCTTGATCTCAGGTGATCTGCTTGCTTCGGCCTCCCAAAGTGCTTACAGGCATGAGCCACTGCACCCGGCCTCTTGAAGCTTTTTCAGGCCTTGTCCTATGTACCTTTTCTTCTGGTTGTTCATTTGAATCCTATATAATAAACCAGTAATTTTAAAAATAATTTATTTATTTATTTTGAGATAGGATCTAGCTCTGTCCCCCAGGCTAGAGTGCAGTGGCATGACCACAGCTCACTGCAGCCTCAACCTCCTGGATTAAGTGACCCTCCAACCTCAGCCTCCCAAGTAGCTGGAACCACAGGTCACACCACCATGCCCAGTCAATTGTTGTTTATTTGTTTGTTTTTGTAGAGGCAGGGTCTTGCTATGTTGCCAAGGCTGATCTCAAACTCCTGGGCTTAACCAATCCTCCAGCCTTGGCCTCCCAAAGTGCTGGGATTACAGTCACGAGCCACCAGGCCTGGCCCCACCCCAGATATCTTGAAGCCTCATTTCCTTGTCTCCTCTGTGTGCCTCTGGGTTTCAGTATTTGGCATGTGGGCAAGCCTTGAGGTTCCTGGGGCTGGGGGCCCTTGGATGATCAGGGTGAGGTGAGCCACAGGGCAGAACCAGTGTAAGCCCACATCTGGTATGACCCCAGCTGAAGTCATGGGGCCTGGCAGGCAGCCCTTGGGTGCTCTGGGGTTAGCAAGAAGAATGCTGAGACCACTTATATCCACTCCCCATGCCCTTCAGGGAATGCTACAACTCCACCATGTTTGCATTTTATTTCTTCCAGGTTAACTCAGCAAACAGGTCCTGCCCTGTCCTGGGAGCATTCACAGCCTTGCAAGGGAAGCAGACAGGTTGCTTCATTCAAGGCCCAGGAAGAAGCCAGCAAGCAGAATGTGTACATACACACACACACACACACACACACACACACACACACACACACACACACTTTATAAAAAGTTATCAGCTGGGCCCAGTGGCTCATGCCTGTAATTCCAGCCCTTTGGGAGGCCAAGGCAGGTGGATCACCTGAGGTCAGGAGTTTGAGACCAGCCTGGCCAACATGGTGAAACCTCATCTCTACTAAAAACACAAACATTAAGCAGGCATGGTGGCAGGCACCTGTAGTCCCAGCTACACGGGAGGCTGAGGTAGGAGAATCATTTGAACCCTGGAGGCAGAGGTTGCAGTAAGCTGATATCGAGCCATTGCACTCTTGCCTGGACAACAGAGCACAACTCAGTCTCAAATAAAAAGTTATCATTATGATTATGTACAAGTTTGTTTTATAGTGATTTTCAACTTCATATATTTTGGACAATGTTCTATCAATCACTCCTACATCAATTTTTTGAGACCAGGTATTTCCATCACCCAGGCTACAGTGCAATGATATGATCATAGCTCACCGTAGCCTCAAACTTCGGAGCTCAAGTTTTATCCTCCTGTCTCAGCCTCCCAAGTAGGGTTACAGGCATCCACTACCACACCTGATGAATTTTCAAAAATGTTTGTAGACGGATGTCTTGCTTTGTCTGGGTGGCCTCCAACTGCGGGGCTCAAGCAGTCCTCCTGCCTTGGCCTGAGATTATAGCCACTGTGCTTGGCCAGTACCACATCATTCTTAAAGGCCTCATTTTGTTCCAATGGGTAGCTATATTAAGGGGAAGAGTTTCACAGTCAGAGCTGGGAGAAATGGCATTCCTGGTGGCTGAAGAGGCAGGAGCAAAGGCCCAGAAGTCAGAAAGTGCAAGGCATGGTTAGAGGAAGGCAAAAAGACCAGCTAGCTGGAGTGTGGAGGGCAGTGTAGATAAGGCTTAGGAGGTGGCTGGTGCCAGAGGTGGGAGACAGCAGGGCACAAATAAGAGTTTGGCTTGGACTAGGGCAATGGGCTCTAATCTCTGCTCTATCCCAGCCTTTCTGTGTAACTTTAGCCAAGTCCCTTCCCTTTTCTTTTTTCTTTCTTCTTTTTTTCTTTACACTTCTTCTTTTTTTCTTTTTTTTTCTCTGTCACCCAGGCTGCAGTGCAGTGACATGATCATAGCTCACTGCAGCCTCGACCTCCCAGACTCAAGTGATCTTCCTACTTCAGCCTCTCAAGTGGCTGGGACTACAGGTGCATGCCACCACACCTGGCTAATTTTGTAGAGACAGGTTC